TATTGGCATGACAGTCCAAGATAGCGTGGTAAGGTGATAATCAGTCCATCTCTAATATGACATCGAAATCAACCATGTCTAGAAGTAACAAATCTACACGAATCCCAAGACCCCCAATCACAACTATACACGAACGATGGACATGATCTACCACAATAAAATCACCTACCAATGTAGACACATATACAGGAGCACTCAAAGAATCACTAGGCATGACCAGATACGGTGCAAAATAAAATGCACATAGGAGTACGTAGATCCTGGATCAAATAGAACTAAAACATCTCTACTACAAACCAGAACCGCACTTGTGATAACTACATTAGAAGCCTCAACCTCAGGCATGTCTTGAAGATCATAACATCAGGGCTGGGCCCCACCACCCTAAACTACATCTCTGGGATGGCCTGCTGCTGGCTGGCCTCTACCTTTAGAGGCCTGACCTCTACCTCTAATATCTCTACCTCTACCTCTAGCACCTCTACCTCCACCTCTAGCTGGCTGAGCGGGTTGTGGAACACTCGGTGCCTGAACTATGGCACAGGAACCCTGATGTTGCGAGCTGCTCGATGCTCGAGGCCAAAACCTAGCAGTGTGACCCATATCACCACAAGTATAACAAGCCCTCGGCTGCTGAGACTACTGACCCTGTCGACCTGAATGACCACCCCAAAAACTTTAGAGCGGCGATGCACTAATAAGAGCTGGTAGTGCGCTGTAGGACTGCTGATCAGAATACTGCATATGAGAACTACGGCCACCTAAAGCACCATGAGAAGCAATGCACCACTGAATCTGCCTGAATGTTGAGGCCTCTTGTCAGACCCTTGACCACCCCTCTGCGATAGAACCATCTCAACTCTCCTAGCCACATTGGCCGCCTCCTAAAAAGAAATCTCGCTCCCTGTATCCTTAGCCATCTGAAGTCGAATAGGCTGAATGAGTCCCTCAATGAACCTCCTCGCCCCCTCTCTCTCGGTAGAAAGTATGATAAGAGCATGATCGGCCAAGTCGATGAATCTGGTCTCGTACTAAGTAACAATCATAGAACCCTGCTTGAGACACTCAAAATGCCTCTAATAGATTTCTCTCTGAGTGATAGGGAGAAACTTCTCCAGAAATAGCTGAGTAAACTGCTCCCAAGTCAAAGCTGGTGATCCGGCTGGTCTAGCCAAACAATAATCTTTCCACCAAGTCTTGGCATATCCAGACAAGTAGAAAGTAGCAAAGTCGACCCCATTGGTCTCCACTTTCCCTATGTTCCTGAGAACCTCATGACAGTTGTCTAGATAATCCTAGGGATCCTCAAAAGATGCACCGCTAAAAGTAGTAGTGAAGAGCTTGGTAACCCTGTCCAATCTCCACAAAGCATCGACAGACATAGCTACTCCATCACCGATTTGAGCTACCACACTCAACTGAACTGCTCCAACTGGCTGAGCTGCGGAAGTTTGAAACTGGGGAGCCATCTACTCCGGAGTACGAGTAGTAGGAGTTTGGGCTGCTCCTCCAGCTTGAGAGACGACTGGGGCTACAGGAAGCAAGCCTGCCTGGGTGACACTCTCCATAAGGACCACTAGACGGACCAGAGCATCCTGGAGTACTGGGGGTAGCAATGAACACCTCTGGGGCCTGAGCTGGACCCACCGGAACTGCCTGGGCCGGAAACTCATCATCAAACTCAACTTGAGGCTCTGCCGCTGGTGCTTCTACTCTAGGCTGAGCTCTGCCCCTACCTCGGCCACTAGCACGGCCTCGACCTTACCCTCTGCCCCTCGTAGGAGCTGCTGCTAGGGGCTTAGGCTGCTGATCAATGGATGAGGAAGCGCATGCTCTCGCCATCTGCAAAAGAACAAAGTAGAAATTCAATTAGCATTGAGAAACCAAACCGCACGACAAGAAAGAATAGATGTGAAGTTCTTCCTAACTCTGTAGCCTCTGGGGGATACAAATGCCTCTGTACCGATCCCTTAGACTCTACTAAGGTTGTCGGTGAATTGTGAGACCTATGTAACCTAGAGCTCTATTACCAACTTGTCACGACCCATATTTCCCACCCTCGGGAGTCGTGATGGCACCTACTAGTGAAAGCTAGGCAAACCAACCATTTGAATTATTTACCTTTTTCCCATTTTAGTCCCTTTACAATTAATAACTAACAACTGATAAACAGTGAAAATCTAAGAAGCGGAAGACTGAAATGTAATAATTTAAGAAAGATGCCAATACCAATCCATACAAAAACTACCCAAGACTGGTGTCACAATTTCACAAACTATCTAGGAATACTATAAATAAAAGTCTGAAAGATTTATTATAACACTGTCTCGGAAATATGTAAGAGAAATAGACTAAAAAGATAGGAGAAGACGCCAAGGCCTACGGACGCCTGCAGAACTACCTCGGAATCTCCGACTGGACTGAAGGTAGCCACCCAAGCTAAGGTCCAAATGCTGCTGCTCCGGGATGTGCACACAGTGCAGAGTGTAGTATTAGCACAACCGACCCCATGTGCTGGTAAGTGCCCAACCTAACCTCAGCGAAGTAGTGACGAGGCTAGGACAAGACTAAAAAATAAACTTGTGCAGTTAATTCATATACATCGGAAAATAGAAGCAGGAATAGACAATGAAGGATGGGAGGGGAAAACATGCTACGGGGGAACATCAATTAAAAGTAGAAAGACAACAAGTAAATACCAGGAACACCGCATCTCAATTATCAACAGGAATCAGAAATCAAACAAGTGCACGACATCACCCTTCATGCTTTTACTCTCGTCCTCACCATAAGAATCAATATAAACTGCACGGCATCACCCTTCGTGCTTTTACTCTCATCCTTACAATAAAATCAATATAATCGGCACAGAATTGTATATCGTGCGGCACGGCATCACCCTTCGTGCTTTACACTCTCTCACCAAAACAATACACGGCATCACCCTTCGTACTTTAACACTCTTCCTCACCCAAACAACAATCACAAGCAATAAGGGCAAGAAAATAAATAAAATCTCGGCAAGGGAACAATAGTTCAACGATCAAATCCCGGCAAGGGAATAATATCAAAAGCATCAACATCCCGGCAAGGGAGATAGCATTAAAAGCAACAACATCCCAGCAAGGGAGACAATATAATAATTCTCTTCTCTTTTTCACTTTTACTTCACAACTCACTTCACAACTTGAGCCAATGCTCTATAAGATTCAATTGCCAATTATACCTCCACAATTCATTATACAACTTGAGCCAACACTCCTCAATGTTCAAATATCACTATTACTTCCACAAGCTTTGCTCAACAATAGAAATCATCACATAAGGCATGAACAATACAAAATGAGTCACATTGGTCATAGAATAAGACTCACGGGCATGCTTGACACCAATGTATAGATACTCGTCACCATGCCTATACGTCGTACTCAATAAATAACACACAACAAATAGGAACAACTCCTAATCTCTCAAGCTAAGGTTAGACCAAACACTTACCTCGATGCCACGAACACAATTCAAGTCTCAACTATCGCTTTACCTCTTAATTCCACCACCAATTCGCTCGTATCTAGCCACAAGTTACTCAACTATATCAATGAATGCTAAATAAATCAATTCCAATGCATGAAAATATGTTTTCTAAAGTTTTTCCCAAAAAGCCAAAAATCACCCCCGGGCCCACATGGTAAAAACCCGAGGTTCGAACCAAAACCCGATTACCCATTCCCTCACGAACCCAAATATATAATTTGTTTTGAAATCGGACCTCAAATCGAGGTCCAAATACCCAAAATTTGAAAAACCTAGGTTCTACCCAAAACACCCAATTTTCCCCCATGAAAACCTTTGATTTTGAGTTGAAATCATGAGAAAAGATGTTAAAGATTTATGAAACCAAGTTAGAAATGACTTACAATCGATTTGGAAGAGTACTTGTCTTTGGTAAATCGCCCAAGAGTGTTTTGGTTTTGAAAGGGTTTGAAAAATGAAAGGTTTTCGGCTAAGTTATGAATATGTAGGTCGCAGATGTCGCAATTGCGACCAGGGTTCGCAATTGCGAACCGTTCAGAAGTCTTCTATTCTCGCATTTGCGACAAAAGTTTGCATTTGCGAACTCGCAATTGCGAACCCTGGTCGCATTTGCAACAAAGGGAATTGTTGGGCCATTTCGCATTTGCGATCAACCCTCCAGGCCTTATCTCGCATTTGAGATGGGTTTGTTATATTTGCGAGTCAGGCTTCGCAAATGCGAAGCTTGCAGACCTGCAGCATACCAGTTAAAAATCTGCAACATCCTAAGTTAAATTCCACCCTGTGGCCTATCCAAAAGTCACCCAAACCCTCGAGGCTCCAAACCAAACATGCACACCAACCTAAAAATATTATACGGACTTGCTCATGCAATCAAATCATGAAAATAACATGTAAAGCCATGAATTAAAACTCAAAACTCATCATTTTTATCAAGAACACTTAAAGTTCATAACTCTTCAACCGGAAGTCCAAATCACGTCAAATAGACTCCATTTTTTACCAAATTTTACAATTTTCCTTTAAATACTACAATAAGTTTGTACCGGGCTCCGAAACCAAAATACGGGCCCCATACCAATGGTTTCAATCATTAATTCTTTTCTTGATTTCATAGATAATTCAGAAAATAATTTCTTTCAAAAATTGATTTCTAAGGCTTGGGACCTCGAAATTCATTTCTGGGCATACGCCCAAATCCCATATTTTACTGCGGATCTCCCAGGATCATCGGAACATAGATCCGGGTCCGTTTACTCAAAATATTGACCAAAGTCTACCATAATTATATTTTTAACTCTAGAAATTTCTATTTCTCATATTTTCACATAAAAGGCTTTTTGAATATAGGTCTGGACCACACACACAAATCGATGTAAGATAAAAAGGAGGTTTTAAGGCCTCGGAATATAGGATTTGTTTCTAAAACAAGTGATGACCTTTTGGGTCATCACAAGAAGAGAACTATGGCTGATGTGGTCAAAGGCAATAGAACTGTACAACAAGGGTTACAACTCAACATTTATCCACCTGAGGTGAGGGATGGAGTTAAAGTTGTGAAGCTGAATCAGAAAAAAATAGAGCAGCAATACCAAAAATGGGAATCAACACTCATAGGGTACGTTATAGGAGGAAATCCTACTTTCAAAGAGATGCTGAAATTTGCATATGAGGTGTGGAACTCAGTTACTACTCCTACGGTATTATTACATGATGATGGTTATTTCATATTTATATTTGAGTCAATTGAGGACAAAATGCATATTGTGGCAAAAGGACTATATACTTTCAATAATAGAGCAATAGTACTGAAGAATTGGGAGCTAAATTTTGAGCTTGATAAAGAGCCTATGCGTGTGATGCCACTGTGGGTCACCTTTCCAGGCTTACCTATTCAATATTGGGCAGACAAAAATCTGGGAAGAATTGCAAGTTATTTGGAAAAACTTATATGCACTGACATACTAACATCACAATGTGAAAGAATATCCTATGCTCGTGTGTTGATAGAAATGGATATAACACAGCCACTACCAGATGAACTGAATATAGAGTATCCTGATGGTAAAATTATGGTGAAAATAGTGGAGTATGAATGGAAGCCAAAATTTTGTCAAGAGTGCAACCAATTTGGGTATCCTAATGGGGAATGTAAACTGGAAAAATAGAAAGGGGGCAAATGCAGATGAAGAAGGGTAAAAAGCAGAAATAGGTGAGGAAAACTAAGGTAGATTCAAACGAAGAGAATGAAACAGCTGTTGCTGGGAAGGAAACAAATGAAAAGGAGAATATACGAGGTACAGGAGATTCAAGTACAGATTGGAGGAAGATGCAAACAGGCTATGGTTTACCATCGTAGATCAAGTACAAAAGGCCAACCAACAATGGATTATGAGGAACCGACAAGAAGAAATAAATATGCAACACTGAGAATCCAGAAAAGTGAGCCACCTGATAGGAATAGAGGCAATGAGCATATACAAGGGATTACCAAAGGGGCTACTCCAACTACCATCCCACCAATATGATCTTTAGTACATGGAATATTAGAGGACTAAACAAGTCCTTTAAACAGAGGGAGTTTAAAGAATTCCTTGTAACGAATAAAATTGATTTGGTAGGATATTTGGAGACTAGAGTGAAACAAAGAGAGCAAGGAGTATACAGAAGAAGATAGGTAGAGACTGGAAAGTTATTGATAACTGTTCTGAGGCTCCTAATGGTAGAATTTGGTTGTGCTGGAATAAGTCAACAGTAAATCTAGTTGTGATGCAGCTATCATCACAACTGATTCATTGCCATATACAAGATAAAAACTCTAAGTTTCATAGTTATTTAACTACTGTGTATGGCCTATATACTATAGTTGATAGAAAAACTCTATGCAATCAATTAAGGGATATTAATGTAGTAACTAAAGGTCGTTGGTTGATTATAGGGGATTTTAATAGTGTCTTATCAGTGGAGGATAGAATTATTGGGGCACCTGTACACTAAAATGAAGTGGTTGATTTCAAGCAATATGTTTCTGACATTGGAGTAGGATTGATAAACAAAAAAAGAATGCAGTTTTTATGGAGTAATAAGAGACGAGCTGAAGATAGGATATACAGTCATATAGATTGGGCGTTTGGTAATGTAGAATGGTTTTGGCTGTATGCAGGTATTGAAGCAATTTATCTAGTGCCCGGATGCTCTAACCATACACCTATCCTATTGAACACAGAAGTACATAGAATGATGGTGAGGAAACCTTATAGATTACTAATTGTACTGTTGCAACATGAAGAGTATAAGGCAACAATGGAACATATATGGGGGCAAGACATACAAGGGCACACTATGTATGCCATTTGTAGGAAACTTAAACTACTGGAGATACATACTAGGTGTATACAGAGACATTATTCATCAGTGGAGGTAAAACTCAAACAAATGAAGGAGGATCTCAAAGTCATACAATAGAATCTTAATGATGATCATCTGAATCCACAACTGATAGAGCAAGAAAAGAAGTTTCTGATGCTAATTGAGAAATGGGATGCAGTACATGAAAAGGTTTTAAGACAGAAGTCAAGGGCTATATGGATCAAACATAGAGACTCTAATACTAAATATTTTCATGAACAATTAAAGGCTAGACAGGCAAGGAATAAAGTCACATCTATTTATACAAAACAAAATGATAGATTGACTGATCACATGCGGATTCAACAGAAGTTTATACAATTCTTCAAGAAGTTATTAGGAGAGGCTGCCCTAGTGATGCCTGGAATTGATGTTAACATAGTCAGAGATGACCCATGTTTATCAATGGCACAACAGCAACAAATACTAATGCCCATAACAAATGAGGAGATTACAAGGGTGGTGCAAGAATTGCCAAGTGATAAAGCTCCAGGAATAGATGGATATCTAATTGAATTTTTCAAAGAAAACTGGCAAGTAATTGGTGAAGATGTCATACCGACAGTAATGCAATTCTTTGAAACAGGGAAGCTACTTAGAGAGATCAACAACACTACTATCACACTCATACCTAAGGTGTCAAATCCAAACTATGTAAAGGAATTCAGACCTACTGCATGTTGCTCTACAATGTACAAGATTATTGCTAAGCTGCTTACTACTAGGCTGAAGTTGGTAGTGGATTATCTGGTGGGTTCTTCACAGTCAGCATTTATAGAAGGAAGAAACATCTTGGATAATGTAATACTTTCCCATGAACTGATCAAAGGTTACGATCAGAAAATAGTTTCACCAAGATGTACAATTAAGGTGGATATTAGAAAGGCATACGACTCAGTTGACTGAAATTTCTTAAGGGCTCTTATGCTGGAATTTGGTATCCCATGTAAAATGGTCAAACTCATTATGGAGTGTGTAAGCACAGTTTCTTATTCCCTACTAATCAATGGAGGATTAACACCTAAGTTTTAGGCGAAAAAACGGTTAAGACAAGGCGACTCAATGTCACATTATCTTTTTATTTTGGTGATGGAGTACTTGAACAAATCTTTGAAGCAACTGAAATCAAATCCAGTTTTTAATTACCATCCTAAATGTGCAAAATTAGGAGTGGTTCATATATGTTTTGCTGATGACTTATTAATGTGTTGTAGAGCTGATAAGGTGTCTATTGAACTTATGATGAAACAATTTGAAAATTTCTCAGTAGCTTCGGGTTTACAGGCTAATATGGAGAAGAGTTCACTCTATGTGGCAGGAATATCTACTCAATATAAGCAAGAAATACTGGAGAAGCTGTAGTTCACCACTGGAGAAATACCATTCAAATACTTAGGTGTCCTTTTGTCCTAAAACAAACTCACCATTAGTTAATGTATGCCATTGATTAATAGAATTACAGGAAGGGTCAGATGCTGGACTGCCAGATGTTTATCATATGCAGGGAGAGTTCAGCTAATCAAAAGTGTGTTGTTTGAAATGCAAACGAATTGGGCACAAGTTTTCATGATTCCAAAAAAAAGTGCATGACATGGTTACTGGGATATGTAGGAACTTTCTATGGCATGGAAGCATTAAAGGAAAGAAAGCTCCTATAGCATGGGATACAATTTGTAAGCCAAGAGCAGCAGGAGACTGAACATTATAAACTTCTCTATATGGAATAGAGCAACAATAGGCAAACTGTTATGGTCAATTGCACAAAAGAAAGACAAGCTTTGGGTTATATGGATACATAATCGCTATATAAAGAAGAAGTTAGAGAACATGAAAACTCCTAAACAGACTAGTTGGGTGGTAAGGAAAATATTTGAAGCCAGAAAATGGCTAACTGCTGACTGCAAGAACTGGAACTATATGTTGTACATGGGACGTATACCATCAGCAAAGCTTATCATTCCTTCATACCACAGTATCCAAAAGTTACTTGGAAGACATTGTACTTGACACAATGCATCAGAAATTAGCAACTATGGATAGACTTATCAGATGGGGGGATAACAGTGCCTACAAAATGTGTTCTTTGTATGAATGACGAAGAGGAAACTCATGATCACTTGTTCTTTGAATGCTCATATTTGAAGTTCATATGGAAGCAGCTTTGAGTCTGTTTGGAATTGATCGACAAGTAGGCAGATGGCATGAATAAATTGAATGGATGGCTACAAAAAAAAGAGCAGGAATACAAAATGGAAGATTTTGGGAAGTGCCTTTGCAGCAACTGTATATCATACATGGATGGAGATAAAGTTAGAGAAATTGTATTGCATTTGCACATTAAAGGAGATAGCTACTGTAAATGGAGAGTTGTTTTAAATAGGATAAATAGGTATCCATGTTAGTATAGAGTTTAAGTTCCGAATGTGGAACTTAAGTGACAAAAATATAGGTTATTTTTGTAAGTCCCGTCTCTAGAGTCCAATGAGCGGGTGGATGTACATATTTACACTAGGTTAAATAAAAGTTATCAGTTTAACAAAAAAAAAAGTTTTTTTCGTAATTAATATTTGAATAGCTTTAAAAGATATATATATATATATATATATATATATATATATATATAGAGGCTTTTGAGGCATTACATGGTGTCTTACTAGTATATTTAGTAGCTTTCATGGACTTTCCTATGATCGAAAATACATTTTATTTTGGCTAAATTAATTTGGAAAAAATAATTATGGCTTTGAAAAATCAAGAAGGCATTAATTAGTATTTTCCCAAACTATCCTTGAATCAATAAATGATCTACAAAATATGAGTATATACAAAGAGTAATTTAAGAAGATATAAAAGATAACTTAGTTAAATAAAACACTTATTAATACTATTAAATGATTCTCTTAATGGGTGTGTCAAAAACTTAGAAGTACTTATTTTGAATGAGAGGTAGCATCGTCTAAAAAACTATCCATAACTATTTTAATAACTTGATATTTTAATTAAAATTTCATATTACCCGTGCATATAAATTAAGAAGAAAATTTACACATATTAATTAGCACAACCTACGCATAGTACGCATGGGCCATCCCTTGCTAGTTTTTAGAATGTTTAACCTTTTGTCAAAGTTGACGATTGGAACACAAACTATTCCACAATTACGTATAATTAGTTTCTTTTTAGGATAATTTGAAGGCAATATATTATTTAAATTCGGAATTTTTTTTTCTTTCTGTACAATATTTAAAATTTATTTATGAAAATTGTCCAAATTTTATATATTACCCACCCTAAACAAGTTTTTCTTACAATCTGTGTACAATATATTATTAGTGCCTTAAATTGAGGGATTCAGCTACACATTTTTCCTTTTTTCTCTCCTCTCCTCTTTTCCTATCCTCTAACAAACCAGTGATGATCGTAAGTTTGGTACTAATTTCCATACCAAAATTCAACCAAATTGTTCCAATCAAACCCCACATTCTGATATCTAAACAATAATTAATCTAAATACTCAATAGAAAAGGCATATCTCTAGCTATGTGATGCACATATTTACGGTGTATTACACAAATCTAGAATTAGATTGCACAAATAAAATATAAACTAATATAAGAGAGAGGTGATGATATTTTTTTTTACCATATTACCATAGAGTTATGTGTTAGCTCAGCCAGAAAAGTGCATTCGCAGAGTCATAGCAGAAGGAAGGAAAGTGTAACATTGTTAACATGTTTAAGATTTTATTTAGGCTTGAGTTTTTGGACCATTAATTAAAGCTTAGGATCAAGAATGTATTATCTGATGTTACATGTGAGATGTAGTTCCACCATAGAAGAATGGCATTCAAGATTCTTGAGCCTGAACATAACTTAGAACCAAACAAAAAAATGAGCGAATGAAGAGTGCTAGGAGCAAATTCGGGGAAAGAAAACTTGTATGTTAGCAAACTAAATTATAAGAAAAATTATTTACATCCACAGAGCAGTACATTGAGCAATAGAATAAATAAATTCATTTGAATTTGACAGAGCCTGTAGTAGGTGGGGGAGGGGGAAAAGAGGGGGAGAGGGGGAACCCCGAACAAAAAAATAAACGTATTGTAATAACAAGGCAGAGTTACCCGGTACGTGAGAGGTAGCAAATATACACTTAGATAATCAAAGTGTGTGCAAACTATGACACCAGTTGTATTTAAAATTAAAAAAAAATAGCTTCTACAGTCGGGGAAAATTGAAAAAATTAATAATTCAACTCGAGAGTAGCAGAGATAAAAAATGTATAACACTGATATCAGCCGAATAGTTTTAACACTTCAAAAAGTCTCAATTACAACTATAGGTGATGGACTCAGATGAGCGTTTGGAAAGTAATGTGCAATTTATGTGTATATACAATATAAAACCTATACAATAATCTGGGTGGAATACATATGTAATTTTCTGTATTTACATACTGTATTTCTATAAGAATCGGTACTTTTGATGGAGAGGCGAGACAGAAGAGAGAGAAAAAGTTTGTGTAATGTGGTATGTCCATCTTTATGGGTACTACTAATGAAAAACGAAAAATTCACCTCATTAATTGGTAACTGTTTGTCAACCAAAAAACATGGGAGGCCTAGGTCTCCATAAAGCTAAAGACAAAAACTTTTGTAATCTTGCAAACCTTGCTTGGAGGACCATTACAAACCCTACTACTCCATGGTCTCAACTCATCATTAATGCCTATGCAAACACTAAAATTACTAGGAATACTTCTTTCATATGAAAAAGTATTCAAAAGGGGTGGGAAATATGTTCCAAAGGTATCAATTGGCAACTTCATCACCATTCTAACATGAATATTTGGGAGACCAATTGGATCCCTAACCTAGGGAGCCTTAGAAATACTATAGAAGGTCCTTTATCAAAAAATGACTATCACCTAAAACTAAGAAATATTTTTGATGGCAAGAAGTGGCACCTTGCTAATATATCCCTAAATCTTCCTGATAATATCAAGGATTCCATATCAAAAACAAAAATTCTTGTAAAACGTCCTAATAATAATATCCCTATCTGGTCCCTCAATACAAAAGGTATTTTCACAACCAAAACTTGTTACTCCTTAATCAACACTAATGAGAACAATGATATGGATTTTAAGTGAATTTGGATCTTGCCATTTCCGAATAAGATCAAATTTTTTCTCTAGCAATGCCTTCACAATAGAATTCCTTGTAGACAATATCTCGCAAAAATTGGCCTTAATATAGATCTTCATTGCCCTATATGTAGAAATCATATTGATAAATCTATCACACATATCTTCCTTAAATTCCATGCAAGCAATCATATTTGGGAAACCATTGGATGGAAAATTTTTTATAGGGAGGATGGGGAACATTGGCTAATCCACTTAAAAAAATTTAATTACCCCTTCAACAACAATTTGTTAAATTAGAATCTTTTCTTCCCTTTTGAAATTTGGTATATTTGGATTAATAGAAATAACAACAACCAAAATAATACCAATTTGCCAATAAACATTGACCTCATTAGAAATAGAGCTATTGAATTCCGCCTTTTAACTGAAACTAATCTGCTACCATATCCGAAGCTCCATATTAAGGTTAGATGGCATAAACCTCCAAATAGGATGGTTTAAATTAAGCATTGATGCTAGCTTTCACAAAGACATGCAAATTTGTGGCCTAGGTGGGTAATCAGAAATACTAAAGGCGACTAGATTGTTGGCTACAACAAATCTGCTCATGCAAACTGTTGTCTACAAGCTGAAATCAAAGCTCTACTAGAAGGATTAAAAACAACCCACGAGTAGGGTTTGTTTCCTACTTCAAATTGAAACGGATTCCACGGAGGTAATTCTAACAATACAACAAGGTAATAATCTATATGCTAATACTATTCTAAAATGTAGGTCGTTAATGCACCAACAAAAGCAAGTAATCTTCCAGCACGAATTCCGGCAAGGGAATAGGATAGCTCACCAGCTAGCACACATGGGAATTGCCAATGCAAGGAAAAAGAAGAAAGTTTTTGTTTCCTCCCTGAAGATGTTAAACTCCTAGTAGAACATGATGTACTAGAACAATGTGTTTTTGAAAAACTCTTATCATATGATGCTT